CGGCCGAAATGAGCTTCCTCCGCAGGGTGGCGGGGCGCTCCCTTAGAAATAAGGTGAGGAGCACGGTCACCCGGGAGAAGCTCAGAGTAGAACCGCTGCTCCTCCACATTGAGAGGAGCCAGCTGAGGTGGCTCGGGCATTTGTTTCGGATGCCTCCTGGGCGCCTTCCTGGTGAGGTGTTTTGGGCATGTCCCACCGGGAGGAGGCCCTGAGGAAGACCCAGGACACGCTGGAGGGACTATGTCTCTTGGCTGGCCTGGGAATGCCTCAGCATTCCCCCGGAGGAGCTGGAGGAAGTGTCTGGAGAGAGGGAAGTCTGGGCATCTTTGCTTAGACGGTTGCCCCCGCGACCCAAAATTGGCAAAATATCATGTACGCAAAAAAAAGATTTCACATGTATTCTAACAGATTATCTATGGGCTGAATGAACACTACAGAAAGCCAGTGTCCCAAACAGTGGTACAGATAATTAATCTAATGTGTCAAAGTATAAAGTGACCACAGAGTAACAGGTAGCCTCAGGCCGATCTCAGGCAGAGTTTACCTCAGTAACCAAAATAGTGCAGGCATATTAAAATGCCCGACTGAAACGCTGACTGTATGTGACCCTGGAAAACGAGTGAGGGGTATGAGGAAGTCAGATGGTTAACAACTAAACTCTGTCCCCTGTAGGACACGAGATTAACACAGAATAGATGGCCATGTTGGACAGACAAGCAGTGAGAGAGAGAGAGGAAGCCAAGTCTCTTCAGTACTTCCTTTATGAGAGTATCTGGAGGTGCTACAGCAGCAAACCAGTCCCACATCATGGAGGTCATCAGATGGTTAGTGACTGAAACTCCTCCACCTGGATGATATGAGAAGCAAAGAGATATACTGTAAGTTGCCATGGCAACCATGTTGGACAGAGACAAAAAAGCTGTGTCTTGTCAGTCCTCACCTTATGAACATCCTGCCATGCAGCCACACCACGACCAGCACTGCTCGTTGTGGTGTCTCATGTCACACACACCTGTAGGAGGCACTGAAGGACACGACTGTCTAAACCAGGTTTAGTGCCTTACCTTTTTAATCAGACACTCATGGCTCCATTTACTTTTATGGACAGACGAGAACATGCAAACAAAAGATGAAGAGACAAGTGTGCATGAACAGAAACTGAGACAGACAAAACATAAAAAGAGACAGATGTAGATGAGCAGACAAACAGAAAAAGAGTTTGCTGGACAAACACACGGGGGGGGGTTCAGAGGATCCCAGGTTTGAGTCCAGATTTGCACACAATCAACCCCAGAGGAAAGGTTCATTCAGCTGTTAGACAAGTGCACTGCTGCCTGTTTTTTTTCAGCATGTGCAACCTTTTATCAGCATAGAGAGTGAAGGACCCATCATAAAATATTGATAACAAAATAAGCAAATTCACATGGGAAGCAGGACTCGGAACCTCACATACAGTGACAGACCTATCACCATTAATAGACCTTCGTGCACAGACTGGAGTCTTCAGATGCACCAGGCAGAGCTGGTGCCCAAGGGAAGGACTGGCAGAGTCACAGGCACCCGTGCAATTGGTGATAGCTGAGCTGATATGCCACTATAATGCTATTAAATAGATGCACATCCTCAGTGGCAGAGCCAGATGTCATGCACAGTCGCCCTCGATCAAGAGCAAAAGCAAACAAGCTCAGTATAAGAGTAATGTAAAGGTTGCCAACTGGAAATCATCAGCAGTTATTTGTATTTGTAGAAAGAACATATCATATCTTATCAAGAGTGCAAATAAATGCTCAGCTCATGAAAGAAATATGAACAAAATGTTTTATTCCTTCAATTTGAATAACAATGGAGGCCATCTCTGTTGGGTGCTGCAGGCAGCACACATCCTGTCCTGTGTTTGGTTTGGGACACAACCAGTGTATTTACATAATCTGAATTAAATGATTAAATGTAAATCGAGCTGTTTCATCTCTGTCTCCCTTGATTCGAGGGGTTAAAGCGTGTGCTCAAAGACAGCACCCCTCAACAAAGGGGGAAAAGGATCATCATTGTTTGGAAATTTGGAGTAAAAGGCCGGGAGCATCTTCCTTTCTCAGTGTTTTTTAGATTTGCCTCTGGTGCTTTCCTGAAGGACAGAGGGTGACAGTGTGTTTATCATAAAATATACGTAAATGAGGCTCTTTGGCCTTAATCCTTGTCTAATTAAGTGCCAGTCTGCTGAAGCAGGCTGCTAAGGGCCAAGATGTAATACCTGTCGAATTAAGGGAACAGCTGGAGCCGCCTGCCTGTCAACAGATCAGCTCCAGATTATTATCCTGCTCATTTAGTGAGAGGCTAAAGCAGGGAGACTCCCAACTGCTGCACTACGTTGGCCGTCTTTATTTCTGTTGCCATTTTCTATTTAGGCTCCACCATATGTCATGGCTCCACATGCCATAATTTTGTGAAATATGGAGGAAATGTGGAAAACAGCTAATTCAAAGATAATGCTTCTTATTTCATAAACAAAGTGTGTGGAACCTGTTCACCACACAGGACTGAAAGCTGCTTTCCCTTCTGCAGCAGAATTGAGAAACCTGCATTAATTAATGAAAACCTCATCCGGGAATGAATAATGAATAACACAGAGCTGTTTACCAGGGGGAATTTAATTAATTTAATCTAACAACCAAAATGAACGCTCTGCATGTGGAGGTGAAAAGCAATGAAAACTATTATTTTAAATGTTCCGCATTTTTCTCACCGCTAACTTCAAAGATGCAGAGCTGTACTGTAAAATCATTCACTTCTAGCTTTGCACAGCATCAAACTATTAAATGCGGTTTTTCACAAGTGCTGTGACCTACATAGTAACAGTTACAATGGTCCTTTTTGTGATCAGCAGCTAATAACGGCTGCCCCAGTTAGGCAATGTTAGGGAGTGTCAGTGTGTTGGCAGGGGAAATTTAGTCTCTGTAAGACAAGTAAAAAAATCATCTAACTGAACTGTTATTGACTTTTCACATTGATGACATGTTAAGCAAATGTTTTATCTCTAGCTGAAATGACATGTTGAATTAGTGACGATGTGCACATGCTGTGGTGATATTTTTCAGTAAATCTTTCATTTAAAGATCTGGCTTTTTCTTCCCTAAAGAATCTCAAGTGCTCATTTTTGTGATTCTTTTATATTCTTCAACAATTTGTAACGTGCTAGCCATTAAATAGTCACTGGCTTTCATGTTAGGTTTAGGTTGGGATGTATCGCCACCTGCTGGAAATTCAAAGCAGGTGCAGGTGGAGAAAAGTTCCACGGGGAGTTACAGTAGGCACGTTGTAGTTGTTCACACCAGACAGCAGGTGAGCAAACATCTGTGTAAATGTCAAGCTAATGTAATGATGGATCTTCCACTTTTTTGAAATTTGAGCTGCATTTACTTTGTTAATGACAGAAGTCTAGGAGCAGTGCAGTATAACTGTACCTGGGAATTATCACACATTTGCACAAATGTCTTCTGAGATTATTTTTAATGTTAGTATATGTGATAATAATCCACATTTTTATTCAGATTTATAATATGATATACAGTAAAACCACTGAGTAGAAAAAGTACTTAAGAATGACAATGGATAAACTACAAAACTAATCCTCCTGATACTGTTATTAATGCCAAAGAGAGAGGCAGGTGTAATTCACAGCTTTCATATTCAAATCAGACAGCTTGAACAAACACACAGGATTGTAACTTGAGAAAAATGTGCCTGGGCATGTGCATAGTCAAATCAGTGCAGGTCAGTGCATTGCACATTGCAGTGCATCAGTGACTGTAGGTCAGTGCATTGCACATTGCAGTGCATCAGTGACTGTAAAAGGCTACTATTGGAGACAGCGACTGACAAATACTGTAAATAAGTTACCTTCGCATCTGAGATCATCAGCAAGTGCACATATGTGGCATTTTAAGCGCATAATGATTTTATCTACCTCCACATCATCCCATTGTATACTAGATAAAGAATTATATAAATGACTAAAGCAACATTAAAATGAGTTAAAAATATAATTTTAAAGAGAATAATGATATTTTATCATATTTTGTATCTAAAAAATAGCAGAGTAGAAATATATAGTATTAAATGAAAGTACTAAAATGAAATACGACGACTCTACTGTACTAAATGATTACAACCATCGACAACCTCCTTAATACCAGCCGTGGAATGTAACTATTTACATTTCCTCAAGTATTATCCTTAAGTAGAGTTGTGAGGTACTTTAATATTTTTTAATTGAAAATTTTCATCTTATAATTCTTTTTCCACTACGAGAAATTTACCAAATGTATCTGGCAGTTATAGTGAAGGCTTTTAATACAAAAATTGCTATTATTATTGATTAAGCAACATAGAACGGAGTTAAGTTTAATTTAATTATCAACAGATGCTAAGTAAATTTAGGGGTTTTACTCATGATACTCATGAGTATTTTTACAATTTTAGTTTTACATAAGTACAAGGTCTGAGTACTTCTGCCACTTCCAATGTTCTTAGTAGTGGTAAGATAAGAATAAGGCACAACAATCCTGGATTTGGACTTAAATCGCTGAGGTTAAGGTAAAATATTTGAGAAAGTACTGCTTTTAGAGAAGTATAAAGAACTACAGAAACAATAATTACCACCAGTTGTCTTTAACTATTTTATCAGAAATTATCTCATTACTGTCCACAAGGTGGCAGAATACACCGCGAGAAACATTTAACACCCAGTGTCATCAGCACCCCACCTCTTACCAGTATGCAGGTGTTTAACGTGAAAGCTACAACAAAATACTATGCTGATCAAAGACCTGGTAAAGTATGTTGTGAGCTGGGCTCTTAAATCTTATCTGATGAAATACAACATAAAATGTAAAAAAAAAAAACATTCAACTTTAAAGATGCTTGTATCTGCTTTTTTATTCAAATGAACTCAGACTGGAGAATTAACTGGAAGCAAAGCTGGATTTTAAAGAGATATTAAAAGGTTTATTACAACAACTTAATTCAAATTTTATACAGAACTTTCACAAGTTACAAGTACATGTTCAACACGGTATCATACCCCTGTTCGAGCAGTTAAGGTAAAACAAACGCTTTCATAAACTTAGAGCCACGGCTCAAAGTTGAAACAACTTGCTGAATATTTATCTGACTGAGACATTATTAAATAAACAGTTAAATTCTCGCAGAGAATTCTTACTTCATGCATATATCTCATAACTATAATAAAATAAAAACAAAACAAAACAGACTTTAAGAAAACTGTGTGTCAGCTTCTCATAAAACTACACAGTAGTAAGCCAGTACAGACTAGAAAAGGCAAACTGATTTCATGGTGTGATTTACTTCCTATGATTATTTCAATGATGAAATGCTCACAAGTCTTACAAAGCAGTAGTAGTGTTACTGTAATATACATGATGTGACTTCAGTTCACATCCGATATTTTCATTTTACATGAAAAGTCAGGGAGAGGCCTATCATAATGACCGAAAGACTTCAAGGTCAGTTTTTAACTGCTAACACAGTCAAGTGATCAAAGGGTCCAGCTACTGAATCCAGACTAACCTATATGTAAAAAAAAACAAAGTACATAACACCTAGAAAGATCACGTACAATGTATCATTGATGCTATTTACAATTTTTTCTAAAGACGTCTATCATGAAAACAGCATCATGTCCTTAAGTGTTCTGCATTAGACACTAAAGCCATAAAGAGCCACTTATAAAGCAAAAACAGTATACAAAGCAAGGTATCGCCTCTGCTGTGCAATTATGTTCACGAGACCTTTAGTCTGAGAGAACAGCACTCAACTCAAGCTAATCTGCATTAAAAAGGTATGGAAGTCATTTATACAAAAACATTAATGGCACTGAATGGAGTCACCATGACTGAGTAATGGGAAAGGTACTGCGATCCTACAATCACTGCTTCAGGAACAATCAGGCTATAGATGGAATGTTAATGAACACACATATCTAACCAGCTCGCCCCCCGTTAAGACTATTTTACAAGCAGGGGCGAGCTCGAACATTCAAACTGCACAATGTGGCCACAGAAAAGTTGTCAAAGTTAAAATCTGATTCAGCCACTTACACTTGTGTAATGTGACAGGATTCAAATCTACTAAAAAAAGCTGCCGGTACTTAAGGTGTGGACTGTCAGACTCTACAAAGGCAAACCCGTCATCTCTCAAAATGTGCAAAATGAACAAAGTAAATCAGAAAGAAATGACTGCTCTTTACAGAACGATATCATAAAGGTAGCGCTTCTAAAAGTCATGAAAACAAACAAGCAAATGAGCCATTAACACACTTTGGTAAGGTCTCTAATAATTCACTGATCAACCGTTCAGGCTGATTGGTTTCAAATAAAAAAATATATAAGATTAATAAATAAGTCACATAAATATAAAAACATTTTCGAACCATGTGTTTTACATCTTACACCTAAAGTGCCTGTTCTTTTGTCTTCATCAATTCCGGAGAAAACAGCACTGCCTATGGAGGACAAAACGGACCAAACAGAAAGTAAACCGATCAAGAATCAATTAAAACCAGTGCGGTCCAAAACTGAAGCTGAGAGAGAATCTCTTTCCTCTGTTTGTCAGAGAGGTTGAAGAGGCGACAGCACGGGCACAGTCTGATCAACTCCCAGAAGGCTGAGACTGGATGGGGCCCCTCCGCGGCTGGCTCTCCTCTGTGTTCTGGTTCGAGGCGGTGCTGGACGGGGCAGAGACGGCCGGGGTCGTGGAGGAGGAGGAGGAGGAGCTGACCCCATTGGAGGTGCTGACGGAACTGTGCTGGATGGCCTCGTTCTGGGGGCTGCTGGGGACGGACATCTCCTCGCAGCTGTCGTCTTTGTCAGAGACTGCAACAACAACAGAAAATACAGTAACAGAATATATATGCTTGGATTTTCTCACCCTGCTGTTTTGTGCTGTTTTAATTAACAGCATTTACCATAGATAATCCAGAAAGGCTTTGCCACGTCGGCCTAATCAGACGTAAAAGAGCTCTTTGCATGTGGTGTGTGCAAACCATTTCATTAATCCCCATAATGCTACTTCTGCACCCCTTCCTTTAATTAAAGCTCCAATGCCAATTTAAACCCACATCATAAGGGTACATTACATTGTGGGGCATGTGGCAGTGTTTCTCATCCCTAACTGCATTCTCATTTGTTTTTTGTTACCTTGCCAACTACTGCAGCGACAGATGATTACAGCACCTGATTTTAATGATGCTCACACTGGAGAGTAGAGAAGACTTGGAGTCGAAATGCCACCAGCTGTTAGGCAGTTGCATTGAATTAATTGGATCCTGATGGAAAAAAAAAGACTCCACTCTCATGCTCTGTTTCATAAAGGAATAGGGAGCACAATGATAATTAATATTGCTAATGATATGAAGTCACTTGTTATGGCACTTTGTAATTAATGACTGGGCTTCATATTTGAGAATGTAAAATAGAATTCCACAGCAGAGAAGAAGCAATAAAAGCGCAATTCAAATGTCTTCACATTAGAGGCTTCGTGCGCCTTCTGAACTGGACTTTGACCGTGTGATTTAGTGCAAGTGAATGTCAAAGAGCTATGAATTCCCTTGCTGCTTTACTATGCAGAAGGTCAACCTCAGAATAAATCAGCATGGAGGTTTTGTTCCATATTCAAGTGTGCATTATTACTCCTAATGACATTAAGCGGTAGCTGGCTGATATTTCATAATACTCAGAAATTCTGGTTTCCCGGTTTCTTTCTGCTCTCTCGGTTTCCGAAGCGGGGCTTGCTGTAAGCAGATGGACAGCTTGGTGTGCCAAATGAACGCATGTCCTGGCTTGTTTGTGGGGCAGTCTGGGTAATTTCCTCCCACCTGCCATGGCTATGCCTGGGCAGGACGATGAAGGGTATTACCAGGTCTGGAGGGCAGCGTAGCCTTATGGGATGTGTAACTCGCAGAAAATGGAGAGCTTGATGAGGCCTTTACATGAGTAAGGGCTATAGATCAGTCAGAATTAAATCATGTGCTTTACTAATTAGCAAGATAGATTATTTCACTGAGCCCCAGCCAGCGGTACATTCACCCCAGGGGGTATTTCTATATCTTACAAGGTGTTAAGTGGAAAGACTGTAGCACACATACATATTTGAAGGGCTGTAGGCAGAGGTGTGTGACATTTTGATGTCTGCGACAACACCAAGGATTTTTTAAAAAGCATTTTGTCATATTAGTCATTAACACACTACACACAACTTTGAGTCTGAATCAAGTCGTAAATGTGCAGGACGAGCAAAAGCACAACCCTACTCTGTTCATCCGCCGTAGCTGATTTGACAGCAACAGTGTTACCAGTATGCTTTGTATTTCTGACTGTGTTATATGTCACGCTGGACATCACGTTAAACATCACACCTTTAATACCAGGATACCGCATCTGTGTTAAAAAAAAAACATGCATGGATGGTATGTGCACAGGCAAAGCCACCATAAAGAAGGGCCAGTTTAATGCCAATACTGCAAACTCTATCTACAAGAAGCTTAAAATCTCTCCCACCTGTCACCATGAACCAAACTGATAGAAACTGCAGTATGTTTGTATGGAGTTATATTTTTCCAACCTGGATAAAAAGTGCTCCAAATGTCATTCTTCACAAAGGTCTGGGAAGACAGCACAGACATGCTCAGCAAGCACATGAGAAAGATGACCCAATTCATCTGCAGATCTTGCTAGAACTATCCAGACGATACCAAATGAGACCTGGCTCTGACAGCCCACTCGAGCCTGGAAGCCATCAGTCCCATAATGCACATGACGTGTGTCTGTGGGATGGTTAGCAATAAGGGATGCATAATGAACAGCCTGGCCTAGTGGACACCCCACAACGAGAATGCTCTGCAGTCTTGTCAAGCTTGCTGCTTTAATGGACTCATTTCAGAGGCAATCATTGTCAATACAAGTCGGCACAGGCGTTTAGAGCACAGCCAAGCAGTGGCTTGGAGTTCTCGATGCATACTGGCTCATCTGTGAAGAAAGGTGAGTTATGACCTGAAAATCAGAATGACAGAGCCCCAGTCGCAAGAAACTAAGAAATATAGGTGACATAATTCTAAACGAGACCATGTGACGAGACCATACAGTACAGACTGACAACGGGGAATTTAAATGAAGAGGCTGCAAAAAGCAGAAACTTCTCATATATTCAAATTTTCATAAAGACGGTCATTTCATTTACCAAAAAGAGCGAGACGCTTTCTTATGCATTTCTAGGACACCCAAACATTTGGTTCCTGAACATTAATTCTTGGCCACATTTAGCTTCATCTAACAAATGTTTATTTGGGTGTCAAATAGGGAGAAAACAATCGCTTGCTTGTGGACACCACCTGTGGCCTCTTGAAAGGACTTCAACATTGCCAACGATAAGAATTTGTCTCAAATAACACTGCCCATAAATATCTAAACTTTTGCAAAGTTAAAAAAAAAAAAAAAACAGTCAACAGCTCTTTCCATTTGGCCATAAGTGAGTCATGTCCTTCTAGTGGTTAGCTGGAGCTCATTTTAGAAGTGTTTCACTGGAAGCCTCAGGCTGAGAATAATGGAGCATTACTCACTGTGATAGCCAGATTTCTTCTGCATGGCGGTTACAGGGCAATCTTTATGAGCCAGAAGAAGCTGCTTCAGCTGAGCTACTTCGTTTCTCAGCAGGGTGACTTCATTCTTTGGGAGAGAGGGGACAGAGAACGACACTCAATAAAACGGTCACTCTGGAGTGAACAGCATGTCAGATTAGAACATGAAGACAGACAGATGACACGTGCATATAGATCAAATGTGCCAAAATAATTCCCCCAACTAAATGGAGGTCCGGCTCCAGACCTTTTCTGTGTTAATTAAAATACTATTATGAGCTTTTTGTCATGTGATTACAATGTTTTAATCTTCTGTTCAGA